TTTCACAGTCAACACGCTAGGTTTAAAGGAAAAGAGCACTTTTAGATAAAGAAGGCAATAATAGATGGCACTCGTGGAGGTAGGAAAACAAAGTTCTTTATGAACCGCAGGACTGCTTGTAATAAAGATTTCAATGCAAAAGGAAAGGCAGTACAGTAGAGTTGACTATTTCTGTCAATGGTAAGTTTGTGATAACATAAGAAAAGTAGTTTAAATGTTTTGCCACTTGCTTGAGCAACTTAATATATAAATCTAGAAGTAAATGCAAAAGTAAAAAGCATTGAATAATGTGTTGCTTATATTTATTGTGTTTAAAAATGTTTGTGAAAGATTGTATTACTGTACTGTGTAAAAAAAGAATTGCAATGCTGAAAAAGCATTTTCAGTGACAATGTTTGGATTTGAAATCAAAATAATGGATAAATGTTGTGTTTGTGGTAAACAGCCACGGATCAGTAGCGGACTCCTGTATGAAAGCTGCTTCTCCTCTCACAAGAGTCACCTAAGAGGGGAATTCACCCCATTTTCAAAAATGAAATTCAGGCCCTGAATAAATGTCTAAAAATCCTGATTGGAATATCACTATAAATAGTTATAAATGATAAAAAGAAGGCTTTAAAAAGATCGGTATCGGTGATCGGTATCGGCAGATACTGCTTTCTGTGATCGGCCTCAAATACCCTGATCGGAGCACCCCTAATTGTGAAGGCAATTAAACCAGCTGTCTGTGTTCACTAGTGCTTTTTCTGTCCTACACCAAAATTTTTTTTTTATCCCCAATATAAATTGTTGACAGAGTAAACACTTTTTTTTAATGCCAAAACATGGCATAAAAGAAATGTGAGAGAGATCAGGAGACGATGCAGAGCAAGAGACACTGATCACTGCTAAACTGAAAACACACTGAAAATAACATTTACATCCAACTGATTATGACTTAATGACGTTAATCAATCATGTTATGCGTCATATTTCAGAGATTAGTAATTATTGTGGTTTCTTCACTTATCTAAAATGAATTTAATGCCAGTTTCAGAATCTAAATTATACAAAAAGCTCATGTAAAATCAAATGTCTTTTATAACTTATAACATAAAACTTTTATAATTTATAACAAAAAACAAAAAGAACAAAAACAAAAACATGAAATAAGCAAAAACACAAACAAAAAAAAGAACAAAAAACATGAAACATGAAACAAACAGAATACTAAACAAACAAAAAACAAACAAAAACAAGAATTAAAAAAAAAACAAAAAAAAAAAAACTAAAAAACAAAAACATGAAACAAAAAAACAACACAAAACAAATTAACAAAAAAAACAAAAACAAAAAAACAAGAAATGACCACAAAAAAACATGGACAAAAGTTTGGCTCACCAAAAAATGGGGAGGCCTGCTTCCAAAACACAAAAAAAATTAGATATATATTTACTCATTATACAGTCATTATACAGTGGGAAAAGACATTGGTACTAATGAAAAATTAATCATGCTTAATCAGTGTGCGTTACAATCCAGGCTAGGATTAAAACAGAATCCTCGCAATCACATATCCATAATCCCTCTTGGCATATTTTCTTAACCCCGGACTAGGAAACCTAATCTGACATGAGGGATAACCGGCATGTTTGGAAACAAGCTCAAAGTAAGAGGTGGCGAGAATAAACAAAAACAAGAATTAAAAAAAAAACAAAAAAAAAAAACTAAAAAACAAAAACATGAAACAAAAAAACAACACAAAACAAATTAACAAAAAAAACAAAAACAAAAAAACAAGAAATGACCACAAAAAAACATGGACAAAAGTTTGGCTCACCAAAAAATGGGGAGGCCTGCTTCCAAAACACAAAAAAAATTAGATATATATTTACTCATTATACAGTCATTATACAGTGGGAAAAGACATTGGTACTAATGAAAAATTAATCATGCTTAATCAGTGTGCGTTACAATCCAGGCTAGGATTAAAACAGAATCCTCGCAATCACATATCCATAATCCCTCTTGGCATATTTTCTTAACCCCGGACTAGGAAACCTAATCTGACATGAGGGATAACCGGCATGTTTGGAAACAAGCTCAAAGTAAGAGGTGGCGAGAATGAGGTACAAAGGTTGGCTTCTTTTTTGATGGATAACACAGTCTGTTTCTTTCTTTCTCTCTCTCACACACACACACACACACACACACACAAAGCAAAGCAATCCCTCTCGGTGAGCCCATATGGATGTGCACTTCCCTCATTCACAGACCCATTACAAAGCCTTCTGTCTGTATTATGAAGTAGCTTATGGGTCTGCTCATTCACAGCGTTCACTCTCAAACTAATTTTTGCTCTGGTTCTCATTTAAAGCTACTGTATTATTTCCTTGACTATTTAACATATTACATTAGCAAGAGAATTATTTCTCAGGGATTCCTTGACATGCATCATGAGTTTTGAGAGGTAATTTGTCCTAGTTGACTATGCTTTCAGCTCTCATGTACCGCTTGCAGTTCACTTTGACATATTTTACAATATTTAAATAATTTCTGCATATTTTCCACCACAATCAGCACAGAAAACATGAAAAAGTATGCAAATTTAGTGTGAACATACTCATGGGTTAAAGAGAACTGGGTCACGGTTTAAGCGCAGTTCGGTTGCTGTTTAAAATGGTGCTCACTTACCCTCCTATCGTGTCAGGTAGGTACATGAGCTGGTTATCATCCACCTTCAGAGTGGTCAGTCTTTTCAGAGAGCCTGTGGGAGAAGAGAGAGAGAGAGAGAGAGAGAGAGAGAGAGAGAGAGAGAGACAGAGAGAGAGAGAGAGACAGAGAGACAGAGAGACAGAGAGATGTGAGGGGAACATTTCTCCCCAGATTTGAAGCCCTGATCCCATCATTTACTGAACTTAGTGATACTGAGAAAATGCCCTTTTTACTTGAAGATGACAACACAGCTGCACTAGCTGCAAAATATGTATTAACCATTCACAATGTAAGATGTTAAACATGATTAACTCGATACTGACTTACTTTACCTTTTCATTTATTTAGATGGATTTTATTTATTATTATTTATGTTGTTATTTATGTTGTTGTTATATATATGTTAATGCTTTGGCAACATTGTGTTACACAGTCATGCTAATAAAGCTTAATTGAATTGAATTGAAATTGAGACAGAGAGAGAGAGAGAGAGAGAGACAGACAGACAGAGAGACAGAGAGAGAGAGAGAGAGATAGAGAGAGATAGAGAGAGTTTGTATTGCAATTGGCAATTTATACACTTCAATCTAGAAAATGAGACCATCAATCTCGCACATCTTGAAGAATTTATTAGAAATTGATTCACAGACGAAACACTGGCATATTCAGCACTTTCCACAGATAGGGTGCAAAAGTTCCCTTAAACTTTTCCTCTCTCAATATATGGTCAGTTAAAAGGGACGCTTAACTGTCAAAAAATATTGACTGTCAAGCTTAGGAGTCCAAGTATTGTAAGAACTGTATTAGTTTCTATTTCAAATGAATTTTGCAACCCTGTTACCAAAATTTTGGATCTTTTATTAGGTTTAAAACCTTTACTGGTATGACTGTGCCATTTTCTAGCCATACACATTAAATAAATATTACTGAACAGATAACCTTGCTGTATCATTATTTATTTATATAATTTTAATTCATTTTATTTAATTTAATTTAATTTAATTTAAAAACCACATTAGTATGGGTAACAGGGTTGAAAATTTGAAATAATTCATAACCAAATGTTGGTTTGAAGTCAGAGGTAGACTGACTCCCATAAATTAAAGAAATATTTTAAGTTATATGAATATGAAGATCAATTTTTCTTTAAATTACAGGGTTAAAATGTTGAGCTTAACAAACGCAGTCAGCACTGCAATGAATGAGATTATTTCTGGCAATACTGTAGAAAAGTTCAGAGAGATGTTACTTCTTGGGTGCCATGATTTATTTGTTTACATATTTAAATTTATTTATTTATCTATTTTGGTGAAAATATGCAGTAACAGGGTTGAATACAAAATTATAAGAGACAGCTAAATGTTATGTTTTTGGTAATTAAAATTAGTTGAATAACAATTCATTAAAAACAGTTTTGGCCATGATGAAATTTACACAATTATACATACAATATCAAAATTATGAGGTTTAATGATGTTAATTATTCAATACAGTCAAGACTGTCAAAACCAAAGGTGAAGCAGGTCAGATTCACCATATTAAAGGAACAGTTCACCCAAAATTTAAGATTTTGTTATCATTTAGTCACCCTCATGTCGTTTCTTTCTTATGTTGAACATAAAAGAGGATATTTTGAAAAATGCTGGCAGTCAAACAGTTGATGGTCCCCCATTGATTTCTACCGTATTTCTTTCCCTACTATGGAAGTCAATCGGGACCAATAAATGTTTGGTTCTTCAAAATCCTTCAAAATATCTTCTTTTGTGTTTCAGAGTGAGTACATTTTCATTTTTGGGTAAACAATTCCTTTAAAGATGGTGGTCAGCTTACAGATGCTTGGTATTTAAAACTAGCTACTTCTCATGCAAAGTTTGGTCTGTGGTAGATAATAGCTAAATCGAACTCAAAAAGCTTGAAAAATATCATAAGACACCAAAGTGCATTGGATTCATGGAAAGCTTTTGCAATGAAAGGCAAAAACTCGTGTCGAGCACCTCTGTGGCCCTTTCTCTGAGCTCTAAACTGGATTTCATTAAGTGTTGAGCTGGGAGGTATTATTTCACAGCGAGCCTCAAGGGCGGTGTGACTTGGCCACTTCAACACGCCTGCTCATTAGTGGCTGTCCGACTGGGTCATTCATTAGGTAATGAGATTGTATTACTGCTCTACCCATAATCCTCCTATTCGTTTTACACATCTAACCTGTTGATTTGTTACAAAGTAGATTAGAGTTGAGGCTGTTAGGAGAACATGCAGGACAAACCAGAAGACATCTGATCGCTTTTAACGAATACTAATCGTTAAGCTCATCTATGCATTTTGGTGTGTATTTTACCTATAGACCCTGGCAGCTGTGTCAAAGCGTTGTTGGACAGCAGTAGATCCTGCAGGTTTTCACAGCCAGATATCTGCTCATCAACCATCTCCAAATTGTTTTTGGACACGTCCAGGTAGCAGAGCTGCTTCAGTGCCCCGATCATCTGCACACACATGACTCTCTCCATTACTCAAACAAATGACTCAAATTCTAATCAGTTTCTGAGAGAAGTTTGTGTAATTGAGCTAAAGTGAGAGACGGGCACCATTCAGTTTGGCAAAAATTCATTGATTTCAAATCTCAATTTCAGTCAAATATGGTGGGTGAAGTCAGAGCCATATACTTGTTGGCAGCACTCTGACATATTGGTTTTTAGAGGCTAGATGCTTCCTGTGAAGGAAAAAATGCACAGAAGCATTGGAGAAGTGGAAACGGGTGAATTGAAGAGATGGAGGGATATGGTTGAGAAACGGTCAAGATAGATGAGTGAAGCCGAGCGTGAACTGACTCAATCCATTTCTCATGCTTGAGGGCAGATCGTGTCCTCCTGTTCTCAAACACACTCCATTCTTCTGTAGCTCCTTTCCAAGAACAGACTGAGAGCACTCAGAAATCCATTTAGACTAGTAATGAGATCGTCAACAACAACGCTGTGGTACCACAAACTTTTCCGTCCAGATAAGAGTACCAGGGATAGGGCTCAGATTTCTAGCACAGGTCCAGCTCTAAATCAGTGCTTTTAGGCAATTTTATTGATTGCAAACCTGGAGACACTAGAGAAGGGATGAGGATAAAGAAGTAAAATAGCTTATTCATGAATTACATATAGTCAGTTTTGATTTGATGTTCACTTTAAAGGGAAAGCTCAGCCAAAAATGAAAATTTGCTGTTAATTTACTTACCCATCCAAGATGTAGGTGACTTTTTTTCTTCAGCAGAATAGTAAAGAAGATTTTTAGCTGAAACCGTGTTTCATGGTGATTCGTAAAATGCAAGTCAATGGCTACCTGCACTTGAGTCAAAAAAAGCATATACAGGTAAGACAAAATGAATACCCTTTGATCCTGATGATATATTGAGGTCTTATGAAGCGAAACCATTGGTTTGTGCAAGAAACTGAACATTATTTATAACATTATTACCTGTAATCCAGAGCCTCAGACAAACGGGGGAAATATGATTCTTTTCCGCGAACTAGTTCTTTCAGACAGTTCATTTTAAAGTACTGGATCATATACAACTGTATATTGGTTCATTTAGAGTCAGAGTGTCTGTCGGACGTCCATAAGTGAGTTTTGATTGAATAACTTGTAGATCTGTGCTGCTTTTGCCGAGAACTGTTTCAGATGGTTCAGCCCGATTTGGTGAACTGATTCAACTAGTTCACTAAAGAAAAAACGGTTCAAAACAATTATTTGTTTGCGAACTGGCCATCACTCTGGACCGTTTGACTGAGCCTATCATTTACAGGTAATAATAATAATGTTGTAAATACTGCTCAGTTTCTTGCACAGACCGACGGCTTCGCTTCATAAGACCTTAAAGGAACACTCCACTATTTTTGAAAATAGGCTCATTTTCCAACTCCCCTAGAGTTAAACAGTTGAGTTTTACCGTTTTCGAATCCATTCAGCCGATCTCCGGGTCTGGCGGTAGCACTTTTAGTTGTAGCTTAGCATAGATCATTGAATCTGATTAGACTGTTAGCATCTCGCTCAAAAATGACCAAAGAGTCTTGATATTTTTCCTATTTAAAACTTGACTTTTCTGTAGTTACATCGTGTACTAAGACCGACGGAAAATGAAAAGTTGCAATTTTCTAGGCCGATGTGTCTAGGAACTATACTCTCATTCCGGCGTAATAATCAAGGCACTTTGCTGCCATACCATGGGTGCAGCAGGCGCAATGATATTACGCAATTATGATATTAAATAGTCCCCAGCACGCTCCCTGTGCAAGCAGGTGGTCACGTTGGTTATGTTGGCAGAAGTTAGCCTATTTTCAGGCGCTGCGTAATATCATTGCAACTTTGCAACATTGCGCAAGAAAATCGCAACTTTTCTTTTCCCGTCGGTCTTAGTATACGATGTAAATACAGAAGAGTCAAGTTTTAAATAGGAAAAATATCAAAACCCTTTGGTCATTTTTGAGCGAGATGCTAACGGTCTAATCAGATTCAATGATCTATGCTAAGCTACAGCTAAAAGTGCTGCCGCCAGACCCGGAGATCGGCTGAATGGATTCGAAAACGGTAAAACTCAACTGTTTAACTCAAGGGCCCTACTCAAATGAGCCTATTTTCAAAAATAGTGGAGTGTTCCTTTAAG